ACATATCGCCACTATAGTGCACTACCTACTCTGCACTATCTGTGTGAAGACTGTAAGGCCACTAAATACAGGACAGTTTACTTCACTTTTGAAATTAGAATTGGTACCTTGCATGAAGCCATTTTTAAGGTCAGAACCTATTCTTCATGTTGATCATCCAGGTGATATTCAGGTGTCTTCTGAGGCACAGTTGTACTGCTAGCCAGTGCATCCACAGGTGGTGAATAGTGGAATGACCTTCAGGGAAGGTTAGCTGTGAAATAAGCAGGGGTAATTCTCATGAATAAGCAGTTGCGGAACAAATAGTGGCAGCACCATCAGGATGTAGTGAGGACAGCAGATGGCAATGCTTTCCCTCCTGAAAAGCTACATATATCCTTTGACTGTGCTGTGACATGATGTGAGTACAGGTTGCCACTATAATAAGCCTGCTCAGGCCCCAGGTATGGGTCTACAAGTTCTCAATGGCAGAGCAGGCAGAAGATGTTAGAAACTCAGTGGCTGTGAAGGCAGATGAATGCTGCAGCAGAATGAGATCCCCAGTTGTCTTGCCATGGGATCAAGGTCACATTCTGTCAAGAGCCATGTGGAAGCTGATGTGCAGCACCTTCTCCACAATAAGAAAGTCACACACAGGTGTCTTTTATGAAATCATGGAAGACAATCATCCTTGACTGCCAAAGAAGATTCAGGTGTTAGTGTGATCCTATCCCATAATGCTTGAGTCCTGAAAAATGGTTAAATGCAAAATGTGAGTAGATCTTGCTAGTTCCCACTTGCTGCTTTTTATGATTTAGTGTTAAAGTTAAAATGATGTACTACAAAAGTGAATATTTTAATGGTTTTTAAGGCATTCAAACATGGAGGGATAGGATTTTTGTTAGCCACCACTAATCAGACTTTTACGCACTGGAAACTGAGGCTGAGCACACTTGTAAATTCACACACCTTTGTATTGCACACACTGTATTCCTCAGGTAAAGCAGACCTAAGATGATTTCCTTTAAATCATTAGAATAGCTTAGTAGTGTTTTGTCTCCAACTCCCCACCCTAATAGCTGGTATGAGCATGCTATGAAAAGGAGTGAATGAGTTGTAATTACTCCCTGCATTCCTTTTTTGTCCAGATATAGAGCAGATGGGAGTGGCTTTCTGGTTAGAGAAGTTGTGTTGTCAAACGCTCAGATTGCAGGTCAGATCTGATCTGTGTGTTATAACAAAGGTCCCCAGAGTATATTCAGATTTTGCAGAATCTCAGTTTACATCTTCAAAGTGTCTTTCATGGCTGTGAAAATAATTTTCCTGATATGAAGTGTTAACCTAGGAGTGCGCAAAATATGGCCCATGGTCCATATCTAGCCTGCCAATTGATTCTGTCCAGCCCACAGGGAACTTTTGGGGAGACCTGTATCACCTTAATTAGCATACATGTTATTTTGATTAAGTGTGGAGATGACATGAAGGATGGAAAACTGCATGTGGCCTTTCTAGCTACTTGGTGGTGGAAGCAGTTCCTTGAAATTGAGGATGATGTCTGTCATGTTTGATGGGTCCTCAGGTGACTGAGGAGCCCGATTCTGGATGCACACATTCTTCGGCAATGGGGGCATGTTGTTGCATAGGGGAGTGGGATTCGCAGCCCCAGATTGATCTCCTTCCTCCACTGCCTTTGTTCCACATCAGCATCGAGTCACTGGGCCTCGAAGTGGCACACACCTTGGCGGACTAGGTGGCACCACATCGAACGGTCAGCAGCTTGCTCTTCCCAGCCATTGGTGTTGATGTCACTGTGCTAGAGGGCAACCTTGAGTGTGTGTCTTTGTACCATTTCCCTTGGCCGTCCTTTAAATGTTGACCAACGAAGAGCTGGAAGAAGAGAATCTGGCGAGGGAGGCGGTTCTCAGACATCAGTTCTATGCCTGCACTTGTCCAGTGGAGGGCAGCAGGGCCCAATGCTTCACCCCTGCCCTTGACCGCAGGAGGGCAGCAGAGCTCCAGGTGTGGTCTGCAGCAGCCACGTGCAGTGGCAGGAAGAGTATGGACAGAGCTGGCAAAGCAACCAAGAAACGTCCCACAGGGAAATAAGTGGCAACCCTGCTGCACACAGCCCCTGTCCACTCTCCTCTAACCTCCCATGAGCACTGGAGGTCAGGGCCAAGCAGCAGATGGATATGGGCCTGTGCTCCACAGAGCTGGTGCCAACAGGATGCTGCTCCATGCTGCCTGCCTTTGACCCCACTGCTTGCCTTGCGCCCATGTGGTTTTGCCACTTCCAGGCAACCCATGGTGGCCATGCTGCACTCCAGGCAGTGGTGGACATGGCGCAGCCTCACTCTGTAGCAGAGGGCACAGCACGGCCTGCACCAGGTCAGTGGTGGCACAACTGGAGGGGGAGGTGTGGGGAGCACAGGCAGGACCCAGCACTGGGCACTGCCACAGCATTGGGCAGTGGAGGGGGAGTTGTGTGGAAACTGGCAATGTGATTGTATGTGGTGATTTGAGAAATGTTTTGTGGAAATGTTTATGAAAATAGGATATTTGGAAAATTGTATGGTAATTTTAGAACTTTTTCTGAAAATGTGTGGAAATGAGATTTATATGGAAAACTGGTAATTGTGTGTTGTAATTTGGGAACTTTTTCTGGAATTATGTGTAGAAATATGGTGATATTGTGCAGAAAGCTGGTTATAACATTTATAGTATAAAGTTTATATTATAAAAGCCATAACAATTTTTAAGTATAGCTGTTGTTAAACACCATTAATTTTATGTGTGCAACCCTCAACAGCTCACCAAAACTTATCAAGTAGGCCTCCAGCCCAACTAATTGCCCACCCCTTTATTAAACCCAACAAAGTTTGGGTTTTTTTGGCTCAGAGGTGAGATCTCCGTTATTTTTTCTGGCTGGTCATTCGGGTTTTTTTTATGTTGATTTAAATGTCAGTACAGGCAGTCCTCGGCTTACAACTTTTGGAGTTACAACAAACGGTACTTACAACCTTTATAAATTTACACCCTGCTTTGCGGTTCCAACGCAGGTCTTGACTTTATGATGCTTGACACAGCTGCGTCCAGCTGGTAAGTCAGTTGTGGTGGAAGGGGAAGAGGTGTGGTGGGGTAGATTAGCACCCCCTCAGTGAGGAAGGGATTCAGGCTGGGACTGGGGTAAATGCTGCCCAGCTGGGGTGAAAGGGGCCGCAGGGAGGTGGAGGGGTAGCTCCCTCCACTGTGTGTCGCTGGTCTGGGAGGACATGGTGGGGCATGTGCCCCTAGATCTGCGCAGGGCAGGTGGAGCCAGGGCTGCATCGGGCTGGCAGTGGGGGCGGGGGGGGTACGGTGAATTTTCAGGTGGCTGAAGCCCCCACATAGCCCCCACCCTGCCCCGATCT